ACAGAATTTTCAGAAAAATTAAATTTCTTCTGTTATATCTTCCCAAACATCGAGGATGAATCAATCTTGTTATTTGTTCCTTCTACTGTTGGACCATGATCTTCAAATTCAATTGCTGAAAACGCCTCTTCAACGGGAGTTGAAGAAATCAATTGACTCTATGATTGAGCACTGGGTAGTGGAATCTGAGAAGGGGACTGTTGCCCAGAAATCGATGTTCAACAGATGATTCAGTTGCATCTCTTACCTAATCATTCTTTCTGTCTAGCGCAAAGTTTAGCACTGTTGAAATATGAACACGTATCATATTATGGAGTCAACAACATCAAATATGAACTCATATATTGGTATATAGAGAGTTCTATACATCCGTGTGCATCATGCGTGCATAGTGCATGAACTAAATCCTTTTAAATGTCAAAGTAACAAGAGCAGGGGTGGGGGAATTTTCTGAAATGAGAAACTATTTGATGTGCCTGATTCAGGGATTAGATATCCACGTGGGGTTTAGTAAGAATCGTAGATAATATTAGTATCAGCAATCACCAGGTTTATACCAAGATCACAAGATTGTGTTTACATAAAGAAAAAAGTGTCTTATCTAGGTTAAAACGAGTAGTTGCTGCTTGATAATCAGTCACATAATCAGAGCCATCAACTCTCCCCTATGTCTTTGGCCCTGATATGATGTTCAAATAATCCTCAATGAATTGAATCATAAAAAAATAAATAAGGAAAAATATATTTCAAAAGTTTTAAGATGCAAAGTTGAATTGAATCATAAAAAATTGAAAAACCATATGAAGCCAAGCACCTTTAACTCCAATCTAAGAAAGAAAAAAATTCATTAAAACCCTGTTAATCGCCTGAAAAACTTCAATTTTATCAAAGCACAAACCCTCAACATCCACACCTATCAAGCAATGTCCACACCAGAACAAAAACAGCCAAGAATCAGCTCAAATTGCACAACCCACTTGACATATGCACAAACAACAGTACTCCAGACTAGAATTAACACATTTCGACCTTGCTTATGGATCAAAATCTCTTTAAAAAAAATTAAAAAATCCAAACTAATGCACAACATTTTAATTGTATGAAAGGCTCCTAACTCTTATTGATTGTCATATTTATATCCCTAAATCTCAATGGATTTTGTTAAAATTAGGTACCTCNGATTGTCATATTTATATCCCTAAATCTCAATGGATTTTGTTAAAATTAGGTACCTCAATCCAATTTTTAATAGATTCCAAAATTTAGGTACCCCAATAGTTCGTGAATTTATAATGATTTCATTATGTGAAAATTAGAGGGATTAAATATTTTCAAGATCTAAATTCATAATTAAGAATTACTAATTTTTCTATCAAAAAATTATTTTACATATCCACCCCCATTAACATCTAGCCTCCCAAAGCTGAGTATTCTCAATCTCCTCTTTCTCCCCCTACTAAGCTGACTCTCCCTTATTTCCATCTCCTCTCACCCACTCTTCTCTCACCGGCGACTTCACGGCGCACCCACAAACCCCGTGACGATAATGTAGCATCCGGCAACCAAGGCAACTTAGCATGCGACACTAGTAATGTAGCATGCTGGAGACGTCGACAAGCTGCACTAACAGTTGTAGAGACTGTAGCACGCAGGGTTTGGCGCTACAGAGATGGAGAGTAGTGATGGAGGCCGGAGAGAATGCTAAAGCTTCATGTTGACCCTGAAAAATGATCCAACAGAAGCCAAGCCCACTCTCACCAATTCAAGCAAGTTTCGGCTCATTTTTACCGGAGGAGCGGTAAGAAAGGAGACGGATGTGAATGCTAAAGATACTCTACGACGGGAGACAAAAGTGTTAGAGCTCCGACAGATGAAACAAAAATGATCGCAGTAACAACGGTCACCAATCGAGAACCAAAGATCTAACTAGAATATGTGAAATGATAGAAAATTGTATGAATAGAAATTGTAAGATTGTGTATTAAGATATTTATCTACCAAGAGTGTATAATGGAGGATGAAAATGCTCACAACAGTGTTTGTAAATATATCTTGCTCATTCAATATTCAAGAGTTCAAGATATCAAATTAAGAATCCAGAATTTGAATTATTTCTAAATTACAAAGAGAGCCTATTTATAGTGCCTTGCCGAGGTGGTGTCTGTTGGATCAGAACCGCGTGGTATCATCTCCTTAGTTGAGGCTTTACATTACTATCTATTTATATAATTAATACATTGGTAAGGGGTCAGCCACCTTATACAATAGGTTGACACTGACATTCTTTATTACAAGTGTTAAATCAATCACTTCTAAAAGATTTTCAAATACGTTGTAAGAGAGAGCATCGACTCCATGAGTTTCGGATGAATTAAGAGCCTTAGAGGAGTCTTTGTGTTCGTCCTTTGAGTGGAGAGCTTTAGCTCCTTTCCTTGTTTCGCTGCCCAAGTTGTAGTGTTTCGGTACGAGGTTCGGTAGTTTGCATAATTTCTTTATATTTGACTACTTGAATCCTTGTTAACTTTTTTGTTGACTTTCTGACCATGTGAATTGCTACATAGTACTTTGACTTTGGGCCTCGAAGACGTAACACTTCCCAATAAGTTCCTATTTTTCGACAGCGGCGGCTGAGTTTCACGTGCGAGGCGTGCACTCTTAAATATAGCTCATAAATATTCAGAAAGTTACTTTTAGAAGTGGCCACCAAGTCATTACATGATACTAGTCTTATAATAATATTATACGCTACTCAAAACAAACACCCGATTCCCAAGACAAGCAGAAGGCAAAAACAACAGCTTCCTACAGCAACACCAGCAACCAGCGGTCTACAGCAAGTAACTCTTCGGTTTTAATTTTTTTATTTTGGCAAAAAAAGTTCTTGTGATTTGCAATTACATTTTTTTCCTTTTCCTTTTTTTTTTTTTTTCAATTCTTCTTCTCTTTGCTATTATTTTGACACCAACTACAAGTTTTGGTAGCTTGGATAACGGGTAGGCAACTTCTCAGAAAATCCAGTCATAAATAAGATCCCACTGCAAAAAGAACTATTGATTATTTGCTACTTCACTGATTTATTTTGATGTTTATTGTTAATTTTTAATTTTGTGACTTAATTTTTTGTTTTGAGGGGAGGCTGACGCCTCACCTCAAGAAGGAGAAACACCTCAACATCCATTTACGCCTTTTTAAACATTGCTCTATTGTAGTCACCAGATTTAATTTCGACATGTTTTTACATCTTAATATTGTTGCATTTGATTTTTTGGTGTGGCGGCGGTGGTGGTTGGCGATGGCTATGGTGCGGTGGTTTGTAGGTCGGATGACGTGGGGTGTTTGTGACTAATTATTTGGTTGATTGTGATCAATAAATAATATAAGATCAATTATTTGAAATTGTGACCAATAAATTGGATATTATGTGACTGATAAATAAAATGTGAACGAACTTGTGACCAATAAATAGTATGTGACCTAAAAATTTTGAATCTTGACTTACAAAATTTGTGATCGAGCCCCAATTTGTTTCACATTAGTAGAAAAAAATGGATAGTTGGTACAGTAGAATAATAGCCATATTTGACCAGTTTGTGTGTTGGTTGGATCCACTTTGTTTGAAAAAAAGGGTACAAATTTTCATTTTTTTGCTTAAATAATGTGAAACAAACAGGGGTTGATAAATAAATTGTGACCTCTACATTTTTTAATTTGTGAACGATAAATAAATTGTGATGTATAAAATTTTTGATTTGTAGCCAGAAATAATGTGACCTATAATTTTTTTGATTCATGATCGAAAAATAATTTGTGACCAAATAGTATAGAATTATGACATTAATATATTTAATTAATAAAAATTGATTAAATGTGTGGTTGAAAAGTTGTTGATCCTATGAAATGTGTGGTTAAAATTAATTGTTGATTTTGACTTGAGATTAAAATTAGATTTTAATCAGAAATAAACATGGGCTTAATTACTATCTAAAGTTTTAAACCTTACTTTTTAATTTTGAAATGACCAATATTTAAACTCTTAAATATAAAAGGGCGTTTGATTGTCAATATTTTTTATGGAAAACATGTTTTTTAATCTAATTTTTTACTTTTTTATTGTTTGATTTACAACTTTTTATACAGAAAATATTTTCAAACTTTTTGGTCATGTGATCATATTTTCCTTGAAAACAAGAAAAATATTTTCTTTAGGAAGATTTAGTTTTTATTTATTAGGTAATTCATTTTCTCTTTCTCATCTATTCCCTCATTTTCATTTTCCACCAATAAAAAAAATTGACAATTATAATATTTTCTAGGTTGAAAACTAAATTAATCAAACACATTTAATTAATAATTTTCGTACAAATAAGTTCTTTATTTTTTCATACAAATTTGATTCTCGCAATCAAATGCAACTTAAAATTTTCCCTTTCATTATTTGGAAGAATTTGATTAGATATTAATGAATTTCAAGCCCAAAATCTAACCGGTTGTAAATTCTAGCGCGGCCTTTAGTTTTCGATGGAATGACAAAAAATAAAATAATAAAAAAAATATCAATAGAAATAAAAATTATAAAATAAATAAAAATTACTCATTTGTATGGAAATGAAATAAAAAGGTATAATTTGATTCTTGTTTATTTTGTATGTAAAAGTAAAAAAATTATTCTAATTGTACATCAAAAATTGTACATAAGGGTCTACACTCCTCACATGAGGGGTGTGACTCATTGAAATAATATTTTTTTTATTCGAGCTGATCCCACCCCCATTTGAGTGGGGTGTAGACCTTTATGTATGGAGTGATGTACTCCTCGCAATTGATCCTTATATTTTGGAGGGAAAGAAGTGAATTTGGAATGGTCAACCCGGTCAGTCAATAGAAAAAATCTAGGGTTTTAATTTATCGGCGGCTTAGATTAGCATGCCGTTGGTCACTGTCTTCGTTTCTTCACTTTGCACCCACAAAGTCGCGTTTGTTCCCTCATTCTATGATAAAAAATGTCTGTAATTCATCAGAGTCTTTCAACTTCAATCTCCTCATCAACCTCAGCATTTCTGGGCCACAGATATCTCAAAAGCATCAAGTACCCCTTCTTTTCGTGATTATTTTGTATTTTTTATTTTTCGATTTATGGAGGGATTTTTTTTTATTTTTTATTTTTTGTAATTTTACTGTGTTCTTGTGCAGGTCTTCTGATGTTTCAATCCCAGGGAGAATCAATGGGGTTGTCAAATGTGTTGCCACGCCCTCAACTGAGAAAACTGGTAATTTGATATTCTTTTTGTGCCTCGGTATATTTGGTTGTGCTCTGTTTCATAAATAGTAGAAGTGAGTAGTTGTAATTCCAGTAATTTTCATTGTAATGCTGATGTTCATGCATTTATATCAATTGTTTCATTTGTTTTCTAATGGGTTAAATCCACCAATAGCCACGGTAGCACATTGATTCTCATTATTTTCAAAAAAAAAAAATTTCTTTCTTTTATTTTCAACCACATATTTTTTAATAAAAGAATATTACACCTAAACCCACAATTTTTCCTTAGGGTCCGTTTGATTGCAAATGTGGAAAATGAGTAAAAAGAAAATGAATTTTATGGAATTGAATTGCCTAGAAATTATTTTTTTGGGAATTGTAATTAATTGTGTTTGACTGGTATAATTTTCCACCTAAAAAATATTGAAAGTTTGGTGTCCGTTTGGCTTTCTTTTTCATAGAAATTGTCCATTAAAATGATAATTTCATTTACCGTTGGGTCTAGAATTTGTTTCACTTGCCAAAAAAAAAATGTAAAAAAATTTTTTTACAAAAAAAGTATCATACCGAATTTCATTCGTTTGGCTTTATTTTGTATTAAAATTGTCAATAAAAGTGATAAATTTTTTTAACATTGTATCTAAAAAAATTTCCAATTGCTTAAAAAAAAAAAAGATGGAAAATCAATTCCCACCAAAATGGTGGGAATTGGTTTTCCACGAAACCAAGAAATTGGTGAACATGTGAGCCAAATGTAAAAAAAAATTTCCATGGAAAATAAAGTGTATCAAACAAGGCAAAAGTGGAAGTTGGAATTTGTTTTTCATTTTCCATGGAAAATAATGCCCTATCAAACAGGGCCTTATTTTTTAACCACGCATTGTCCCTCAAATCTTTATTCAAAAATAGAATCAAACAAGCTCTTAGTGTCACTATGTCCACCCATCTCCATATCCACCCAAATTGCTTTTGATTCACCGTGACCACCCAACTTTTTATAAAGTTCCAGTCAAGCCACCCGATTATTACAACATTAAAAAAATTCATACATAATTATTATATATATAAAAAAAAAGACGAGAAAAAAAAGCACACACAACATGGTAATAATTTCAAACACTTCAAAAATATATATTATATGAAAGTAGAAGCAATTTTTTTTTTTTGGTTTCTGCTAACATAAAATATACAACTATCTCGCACTTTCACATGCACAAAGTAAAAATAAAAAATCCACTAGCCAAATGAGGAAAAATTATATAATATAAATCGAATGCTAATCAAGAAATAATTGCTCCATAAAAAAAAATACAAGAAAAATTCACTAACCCAAAAAAATTATATAATATAAATCAAATTCAAATCAAGAAATTGTTTCTGCTTTCATATAATTTTTTTAGTTTTTGTAATGAAATTGTGTGTTTTTTTATTTTTGTTTCTGATTCCCATTTCCTTTTTTTTTTTTTTGGCAATAATTATGTGTGAATTTTTTAGTTTGTGTGTGTTTTTTGTTGTGGTAATATCCGAGTGGCTTAATTGAAATGTTATATGAAGTTGGTTGACCAAGGTAAACGAAAATCAATTTGGGTAGCCATGGTGACACTAAATACAGTGTCCATGGGTGGATTTGACCATTTTTCTATTTGATTTGAGCTTTTTTTTAACCAACCGGGCTGTGCTCTGTTTGTTAATCAGTTGAAGTGGGAAATGGTTATTCCACAAATTTAGGCACAATGCCTAATGTTTCGTGCATTTGTGTCAATTGTTTCAATTTTACTTAGAATTATGTCATGAGATGTTCAGGCAAAGCTTTACTTTTCGTTTTCCATTTGTGAAATTCATCTTACCGATGTCTGGGGTTACACACTCAATGCTTATTTTTTAAGTCTTTGGAGAATATATGTTTGTACATGTGTATACATCTGTATGTGTGGTAATGTTAAACTAATATATATGTATACTGCTTGTATGTGACCTGCTATTTGATGATACTGAAATTTGGATGCATTTTGTGGAAGTTTACAAGACAACGGTCTCCCGCAATGAAAACATGGGAAAACTTCAAGCTGGCTACCTTTTTCCAGAGGTCTGTTTTTGGATTTTAATTGGTACCAAACATAGGTTTTATTTCCATAAGTGCATTGCAGTGTGTGGTTCTACCAGTTAATTAGAAAAGACAAAAATATTAATGCAACTACTTTATCGTTTCCTTTTCAAGCTATTGAAATTGTCTAATGCTCTTTTTATGTATTGAAACAATAAAGTGAAAATTACTAGTGTTCTCTTTGGTTAGATAGCAAGACGGAGGGCTGCCCACATGTTGAAATATCCTGATGCTCAAGTTATAAGCCTGGGA